CGAGGACAGAGCCCTGAGGGACACCGCACGAGACAGTACGGGGGCCGGAGGAAAAAACGTTTGTGGAGACAAAGTGAAGACGGTGGGAGAGGTACGACCTAAACCACTCAGGGACAGTGCCTTGAAGGTTTAGGTGGGAGGACAAGCGGTGGAGGAGGATAGTGTGGTCGACCGTATCGAATGCTGCCGATAGGTCGAGGAGGACGAGGAGACAGAGGGAGCCCTGGTCACAGATGGTCAGGATATCATTGGTGACCTTGACCAGGGCAGTTTCTGTGCTATGGGCAGCACGGAAACCCGACTGAAGGGGTTCGAATAGTGCATGGTTGGAGAGGAAAGAGCGCAGCTGAGAGGCGACAACTCGTTCCAGGACCTTGGACAGGAAGAGGAGGTTGGAGATGGGCCTCCAAGTACTCAAGTAGTGGTATAATGGATCTCTCCAGAAAAAACATTAAATATAAATATTTTCTTATCCATGAAATAGATTCTCTCAGTGGGTCAGATTATAAGATGATTCACAGACTTGTATTATTTTATATTCTGTAGTTTTTAAAGTGGCTCACAACATGCCATTCCGTTTCTTCTCCCTTGTGTTTAATAACAGTTTACGTAAGTGGTAGGTACATTGAGGAATTGTAGATATTTCAAATCATCATATTTCCTCTTCCAATGAACCATTTGTCAATTTGGGATCTGTACGCTAATATAATCAGAATCTGTCAAAGTAACTGTCATACAGTGGAATGAATTGTAGTGGAAGTGTGATATATAATGTTGAAAAGAAAAATCACTATCAGATTGATTTCTGTAGAGTGATTTTTTTCTAAAATGCTCTTGTTATTCCTCCATTAATATAGAACTTCAGAAATGTGACTCAGAAAACGTCCCTAATCTAATTACAGTATGCTCTTTGTAATTGCTTTGTACTAAAGCATAGATCATCTTTCTGAAGGCGCTCATGTGCTTAATGCTGTTCCGCTGTGGATCAATGATGAAAATTTTCATATAGGCATTGCAGGAATTTAACTGCGCAAAATTAAGTTTTATTCCCTAAACTGGAAGAATATGGTCAATTGAAATTAAAGCTATATTTCATAGTAATTGATTTGAGTTCAAATGTAAATGTTTAATCTTTCTAAAAATGGTAAGAAAAGTATTAGTTTGGTATGGAAGTTTCTAAACGATGGTCACAATGTGATTTTTATGCTAATTTAAACATTCTGAGATCTGAATCAATTATCTGTTTACAGCAGCGTGAATAGTAGATTTCCCTGAAGATATTTCTGCACCATAGAGTAGAAGGTTCCGCAGTGGCATATTTGCACAGTGCTGAATGCGTCACAAGGGACGATCGGTCAGTGCAAATCAGCTTCCTCACAATATTAAAAAAAACTGGCATTTAAAATTGTAGGTTGTATAACCACTACTTTAAAAAATCTATTTGACACTGTTGAAATGTGATTGCGTTTTGGATTCAGTGATGGCTAAGGTCGTCTATACAGATACATGGCATTCCTCGTGAACTACAGGCCCGTAAATCAGTTAAGTGCTTACCCGAGGCAAATGGAATCCCATGTTAGACTTCTGAACATTATTTTGTTGCTCAAGTGGGTCAGATAATGCTTAAGGTCTCAATACAGCTCCAATATACTGGACTCATATGCTACTAAAGGAAATTATTTACTTATTTTAATATCGCCCACAAAATGTAGTCAGTTCACTTTACAACATATTCTGTGAAGCGCTTTGACACTTCTCGAAGACGTGATAAGGCACATTATCAAATGCAAGGATTATTTATTTCATTGTTAAAACATCATAGGCTTTTGAATATTTAATTTTGTTCATGTATAGCAAGTGAATGAAATAAAACATGGAAGGTTAAAAATGTTCACTTTTTTTTACTATAATCATGAAAATGACATGCACTGGTAGAATTTCCACTTGGTCTAGATTTACTCTATTAATGTAGCATGTTAAAGCTTCGAGAATTTGGCAAATTCTTAAATGTAGCTTTAAGTTTGAAGCTGATTTTCTATAAGTTCTTTTAAGATCTACAGAAAACAGATTTGAAAGTTAAGACTGAATTCTGAAATGTGCCAAACTCTGGATGGTCTAAAATATAATACAGTATAAATTTGTATAGCGCTTTTTACTTTGGGGGGGGGATGTCTGGCACATAAAATGCAACATAAACAGAGGTGTGATCTATGAGCATAAATGCTATATTCAAAATCTCTCCCACAAATCTTTCAATTCTTACATGTGCTCTGTGAATAAAAGTAATATTAGGATGTTCTCCCGACTTGAAAGGTGCTATAGAAATGTAAATTTAGATTGGAATATGAAGTCGTAGGGCTCTGACTACAATTTCATACTTCATCTTCTTTTTGCAATTCTAGAGTCTGAATTTTTGAACTTTCACGAATGAAAATGCTAAATCTTTTTCCCCGTTTGTTTCCTCCCACTGACCAAACAAATTCTTGCTGTGACTTTTCTCCCTCCCGTGATGTGCTTTTTCTATACTATAAACCTCACCCGAGTACCACAAGATGATGCCAGCTCAACCAGTATGCGTGAAGAGGGCTGATAAGAGTCCTGCTGAACCACTTGCAAACTGGCAGACTGGTGTCAGAGCATTTCCAAATGCTCAGTGATGTGCATCAAGTGTGTTAAAATTTGTGACTGGGACTCGGGGTTAAGTTTTCTCACCTGCAGTTGTAGAAATAGTTTGCCACGACCAGCAATATAAATACAGCTGGTTCAGGATTATTTTTTAATGTGGTTCAATGAAAACTAGATATTGCAGTTGAATTATTCTGGAACTTAACTACAATTATTATGAGCAGTTACTTACAATGCTGCTTCAGAAATGTAATTGTGTCAAGCAAATGTTATTTAAGGTACAGTACAATTGTACATTACACCATAAATTAATCAACTGTATTGGTGTTGTTGGTAGTGTCTTCGATTCAGTGATCACAGACAGTGATATTATATCAAGTGTTGAATATTTTCAACTGAAGTGTTTTCTGGACAGTAGTATATTGTACCAATGGAAGTGAAGAGCAACTGAGCAAAGACCAATGTTTTTGGCCCTTTTGTTTGTCCTCTAAACTGACCTCTGATAAATTGTAACGTTCTTAGCATTATTTAGCTGTGCCAGCGCCCTCTCGTGGAAATAATAAAGTACAACAATACACAAAAAATGCCAAATTGTAATAACTGGTTTGCACCCATGTAACCTCATTATCCAAAGCTTGCTTATAAATTGAGAGACTGAATTAACGCCATGGGGTTTGTGATGAAATGTAATCCAGTCCAGCACTCTGTTAGGATCTTATAACGAAAAATTGTTTGGGGAATAGGAGAGAAGTAGAAATTTCTCTTGGTGTTGCTAGGATACACTCAAAATGTAAATCTGCTTCACGGATTAGCTTTGAAAAGGCTGAAGAGGCTTTTTCTGGTTGGTCTGAAGTTCTGAAATTAAACTTTGCATTTACTGATATCCAAATTTGAATCATAAAAGAAAATGTTTTATCTTTTTGTTTTTTTTATTAATGGCTTCATTCACAGCCTGTAAGACCCGAAAATTGTGCAATTTGCGGTTCATGAATAGACCTTTGATTCTTCGAACAATAGAGAACATTTTCACATTCCCATTTTTTTGGATGGTCAAGTGCAACTTGACTGCTTCTCCAGATCAGTTGTAATTAAGGCTCCTACATTTGAAATTGCCAGTCTTTTTTCAGATTTCCACTTGCAATATTTTCTGATTTTATTGCTTGAATTTTACATAAATCCTTAATTTCAAAGCAAGTTTCCAGTGGCATTTATAACCAATCTCGCTTAGAATTCTAGTTTTGACTCATAAATACTGAACTTTGTAAAATGTTATAGGTATCTGTCAGATATTCCCATAAATAAGCAAAGGTAGTTTAGGAATTGAAGATTCACGCAGATTATATGACCAGCGGATCAGTGTCATTTATTGTACAGTATGAATAATCTTTTACTCTCTAGTATACAATTTTCAACAATCGAATTTTTTTTCAGTAGTTCTCTGCTAATGTTTGGAGCAAATATTACAATAAGTGGATTAAACAATTAACATTTATACTTTTTTAAAGTTAGCATTTCTTAGAGAGTTTCCATTTAATCTGAATTTGGTGTGATTTTTAAAAAAATGGTACATGACATAATTGATCATTCACTTCTTAGCTTAGCTGTTTGTGGAAAGCTGTGCACAAATTGGCTCCCATGTTTGCCCACACAACCCACAGTCACTGCAATTCCAACATAGGCTTGATGGGCCCATGGCTTGATTCTATGAGTTCTTAGAAATCTGAGCTTGTATAAAAGGAGCAAAAGAATGGGTTTGGGGTGTGATTAAGCAGGAATTCTTGACCAGCCAAAGGAATGCAGAGATGTTGACCAAAGTAATCAATTATGCATGTTGTAGATTTTTTATCACACAGTTCTAATATCTTAGTTAAACATCCTGTTGTATCACCTTCACTTGCTTCATGTTTTACCTTTGGCCTGGACTGAAATATTAATTAGAGCATAAATCTCAACACCTACATTGTGAATTCATTGATAGCAGTTTTTTTTTCCTGACAATATAATGGTTCACAGAGCTTTTAGACTTATTCTAAGTAATGACATTTAGATTGTAATGTACTGGTCGGTTGTAAATAAAGTAAATAGCATTACATTTCACAATCAAACATTTCATCTAAATTAAATGTGAAGTTATTATGTCTGATATGGATTAATTTCACATTTGAAATTTTAAGGTGCTTTTGCCAGTGACCACACATTCACAACTAGTAATTTTGAGCAGTGGATAATGCTTTACATTTTGGTGAAAGGGGAGAGATCAAAAGGGACTGAGCTCATTTTAAAATTGTTCATAACTCAAGCTGGGATAAAAAATGTTGTATACCTTACAACTGGGCCAAACTGTTTATTATGTTCTGTTTTTTCCCCCCATCTAGGATCTTGTGAACATTGACATGTTTCTTACAGCAAAGGAGGTTGAGGAGTCGCTGGAAAGGCAAGAGACTGCCACTTGTCTGGCCTGGTGCCATGACAACAAGTCAAGGCTGAGAAAAATGAAGGTATGTTGGGTTTATCAACCAAGATGGTTTTGAGTAGCCCACAATAAACCACATCTTGTAAGTTTTTGGATGATTTACATGGTAGATTAGATGTAACTGATTACCTCAAAGCAATATTTTATTAGAAAAGTATTACAACCCTTCAGCTTTATAACAAGATCAAAAAGTAACTTTTGTTCGAATATGAAGCAGTCCAGGAAGCTACCCTGCGTGAAGGGCCCTATATAAATGCATGTTGTTGTAGAAAACAGTTCAGTGCCTCTTTGATCCGGGGAAGGGGTAGAGGTAGAGCTCCCATTTCAGGAGTTGCCTTGGTGCTGAGTTCCTGATACAGCATAGGTCTTCATTACAGAATGCAATACATATATTGTTTGTTAGGTGGGAGTCCAACCACAGGGAGGTACAGACAGACTAGGATTCTATTAATGGGCTAGTGAACATTTTTGTTGGCTATGTTTTTGTAGGTTTTCAGTTAACACACTGCATAGGTTACAGTAAAGTGAATTTTGGCAAATGCATGACACTGCCGCTTCTCTGGGATAAGGGAGGAACCACATTCAGTGTTTTTTGTTTCCGACTCATCTTTACCTTCCCACTCACTTCAGTTCCGATCCCTAGCTCGGATGTGAAAGACACAATATATATGCAAATTTGAATCGTATTGTACTCAAAATTAACTAATTCCTCAGTACCATCAGTGAGCAAATTGCACTCAAATATGGTTGGACCCTATTATAAGACACCAGCTTGGATCCATAAACGCACACCATTTTTTGTCGGTCCCCATTATAACTGGTCTTGTTATACAAATGGCCATTGATCAGCACTCCTGGGTCATCAGATCATTATTGGCATTATTTCCTGTGCATGAATAATAATTCTTGTATTTGATTTATCGCCTTATCATGTCAGGAGAACGACTGAAATTACTTCACAGGAATTACTGTTAAGTGGAGTGACTGGAATTTGTAGGCAAACACAACAGCACAATTGCGCGCAGCAATGTCTCACAAACAGCGATGAAATGAAAGCCAATTTTTTGGGGGGGATTGTTGGCCATTGTTGGGAGAAACTCCTCTCTTCGAATTGTGCCAGGAGAACTTAAAACATCCACCTGAACAGGCAGACGGGGTCTCGGTTTTATGTCTTGTCCAAAGGACAGCATCTCCGACAATGATACACCCCCCACCACTGCATTGGGAGTGTCAGCATAGTCTACGTTCAAGTCTCGACGTGGAATTTGAACCCACAACCTTCTGACTCTGAGGCGAGAGTTCTACCACTGAACCAAATGGGAACACAAACTGAGAGCTCAAGTGCATGTTGCTTTTAAAGGCAAGATATTTTTGTTAATGTAACCTCCCTATTGCAAATATATTTCTTTAGCTAAAATTCTATGTCTTATTTGGTCCAATTTAAATAAATAGATTTGAAAATATTTTTACAGTAATGCATGAGCGAATTGCTGATGTTTTTAAGTGAAATCCTATACGTAACCGTACAGTTTTGAAACTGCTTTCATATTCCTTTGTTTTGCCAACAAAATAATCAATTCACTTTACAATATATACTGTCAAGTGCTTTGAGACGTTCCAATGTCGTGATTAGACGTTATATCAAATGAAAGGATTATTATTATTCTAGTTGCTCAAACTGTGACTGTCCTTTGTTGAAATAATAATAATCCTTGCATTTGATTTAGCGCCTTATCATGTCTTAGAGATGTCTCAAAGCGCTTCACAGAATATACTGTGAAGTGAATTAACTGTATATTTTGTGGGTGGGACACAACAACCAATAGCACACAGCAGTGTCCCACAAACAGTTGTGGATTGAATGACCATATTTTTTTTAAGGGATTATTTCAAGAATAATTACATTTGTTAAAATCGTTAAAATAGCCAATGAATGAACTAGTATAGTCTCACTTACAGCTAATGCTGAATAGTACAAGTTGGCAGTTTCTGAATCTGAAGATTTTACAATTTAATCCCAAATATTTTGCATTTCATCATATGATGAATGTTTGTTACATGTGTCAGCTTCTGTCAGCACTCGCCTCAGTGCAGTTTGATGTAACAGATTACAGCATGACCTGTTATTGAACCATTTCTTTTGCTTTTGCAGAGCTGTCTGGAGTTCAGCCTGAGGATTCAGGAGTTTATTGAACTTATCCGACAGAACAAGAGGCTGGAAGCTGTCAGGTACAGGACATAAGACTTCTCCCCCCAGCTTGGAAATTTAGAAATAGTTGGTTGAAGTTGATTTATTTGTTTCCTCCCTCTCATAATCTATTATATCCTCGCTCATTCCAGTTAACCCACAATACACAAGTACTGTAATATTATCTGGTAGGTCAACAGTGTTCAACATGAGCAGTGCTCTGGTGCTCTTGTATTATCTGTGTTCAAACTTAACACTGCTCTGGTGCTGAATGTAACTGGCATAGCATCAGTGACTTATTATAGCTAGACATGTTATAGTCCAGTGGAGCAGTTAAACAAGGGAGAGAAGCCTACAATTTGGCAGCACTGTCATGTGAAATGTACATGTTCAGGATTTTGTGCTTGTATTTCTGTAAAAGAGACATCAATCGATGGATTTTTGGATGGTTGTTAATCAGTTTATGAATCCACTATAATCCCATCAAATAGAGTCCCACTTCCCTGCCCTTTCTGTGTACCCTTTTATATTTTTATTTTCAAATATTTATCCAATTCTTGTCAAAGCTATTATGGACAAAAATGTGCTTCTCATTGCTGTGGAAATTGAAGGAAGCAGGAATTAGATTTTCTGCTTGTTGTTGAATTCAATACATTTCTCTGAATAAATTATCCATTTCCTAGTAGATAATGGATTTTATTATATTGTTCCTTTTGAAATATAAAGTAGTGCTTGGGTTAGACAGCACTATATGTAGTTTACTGGGTTAGCCAATCACTTAATGAACTGTAACCCAATTACTGCATCACTCCTATAATCTAATTTGCTATGTAAAGCCTGGATTCTCTAGTAAAAATTTAAATTATTCCTGTATACTTTTCTATAGTTCAATAAATCCTAATTACAGCTCAAAGGATATCTCTCTGATTAAATTCAAAACAATACTACAACAGTTTTCCTCCAGAGCGTACAGAATAGACAGGGAGATAGTGAGATTGGTAGTACTGAATTTGCATCTTTGAAGTGACTTGGAAGAACGTTGTGGACAAAATTATTCTGTCGTTTTGCCTCCAGTCATCTTGATAACTACATTCTCCTTGGAAAACATTTGTGTAAAGTGGCGGAGAGAAAGAATATTAAATGGAAGGTGCTCTTAAAGTATTTTCCTTTCTCTCTACAAGGTTTCTGTGGCAAGCTCCATGTTTCAACCTTGGAACATGAGGAGTCAGGGTGACCCTTGATGGTGTAGAGGACAGATCGTGCTGGACAGTTGCTCATCAATCTCAATCCGAGGTCATGTTGAATTTGCTTGTCTCAGTGAGGGCTGCATTGGGAGGCTAAATTGGCCATGGCTTTCCCAGATTTGCAGAGAGGAAAACACCCAGGGTTCTTGCTCCTGGCTCCTCTACTGTTTGTGCACATGTGTGGCAGCCAGCTGGGGAGCAGTTATGCTTGGCTACACTCACTGCTAGAGTTTACACAGGAACAGTGGCCACTTGGGTGAGGCTCCAGAGAGAAACCTTACCTATAGACCACACCCAGGAAAAAGGAGGTCAGACCAGGAGCTAGAGGGAGAATGGGGAGAAATTTTGACACTTGACCCTCTTTCCAGGCTCCTAAGATTACTTGAACCAGTTAGTACAGCCACTGTCTTTTAGAAGAGTGGAGAAATCGTTCTTTTACAACAAAAACAACTTTATATAGCGCCCTCCACGCCAGACGGCGTCTTGAGCGCTTCACAGTAACGGATCCCGGGCCGAGCCAGGGGGAGGGGTCGGAAGGTGACCAAAGGCGCGGTCGAAAAGAAAGGTCTTCAGCAGGGACCTGAAAATAGGAAGAGAGGGGGTGAGGTCAAGGGAGTGAGGAAGGGAATTCCAGAACCTCGGGACATAGTGGCTGAAGGCATGGCCGCCGAGGCTGGAGCGGAGGAGTCGGGGGATGAGGAGGAGGCCAGACCCGGAGGAACGAAGGCAACAGGTACTGTTTTGAGGAGAGAGGAGGTCGAAGAGGTAGGGGGGTGCAGAGGAGTGGAGAGATTTGAATACAAGGGTATTGAATCTTGATCTTGACGGATCTTGAAGTCGATCCTCTCGGGGATAGGCAGCCATTGCAGTCTGGCGAGGACTGGGGTGATCTGGGAGCGAAGTTTGGTGCGGGTGAGAATGCAGGCGGCAGAGTTTCGAATGATCTGGATTTTATGGATAGGAGACCGGCAAGGAGGGCGTTGGAATGGTCCAGCCGAGCGATGACGAAGGCATGGACTAGGGTTTCAGCGGCTTTTGGAGAGAGGTATTGGCCGAGACGGGCGATGCGTCGGAGGTGGAAGAAGGCGGTTCTGGTGAGGGACCGGATGTGGGTGAGGAAGGATAATTGGGGGTCGAACCTGATGCCTAGGTTGCGTACGGGTTCGGAGTTTTATGGGGATGTCGGGTAGGTGGAGGAGGTGAGAGCCATGAGATTCTTTGTGTGGAACTGCCTTTCTTCCGATCAGAGCATCTTCTGACAAGTTTACCAAGACCGTATGGATTCACCATATAGTGAATTAGTGCAATTTATTACCTGCTGTCGGGTACATCTACTATTTCAACAACTGTTGATGATTTGGAATTTTTACTAATTTTCCAGTGAGTATCAAAACATTAGTTCTTTGCCTCCAATTATTTTTTTCATGAACCATGTGTTTTACTGGAAGGAAACTACCACAGCAGTGTTTCAGTGCAATGCAGGAGAATGAATTTGTGTGCCTGCAATTCACTGCAGGGCTGGTTCCCATCTTAGTCACATTGCAATGGAGAAGTAATGAGCATGTGGAATTTGCTTCACCACAGAATGGAAGAATTAGATGGCATGCCTCCCAGGCTGTAGTCTCTCTCTTGCACCTGTTCACAGACTGATTTAAGCAGAGGTCTGGGAATGAGTTGACGCCTACCTGTATTCTTGGCAAGGCACCAACAGAAAGATGAGGGTAAATGGGATGATTGGGCTGGCAGGCAGAAGTGTGTAAACATGTTTACTTTTTTGTTTGCTCCACTATAAATAATGCGTTGAATATTACATTATTGGAAACTTTAAATGTTGGCGAGCTCGGTAAGCTGCATTTCCTGATCTGCAAGATTGTCATATTTATAGTGGTCAGAGCACTCGCCTCACAAGCGAGAGACCTGGGTTTGATTCCCGGGAAGACAAAATGTTGGCCAAGTTTGCTTACTCCTCATGCGTCTGTTTACCTAGCAGTAAGTAGGAACACGGTTGTTAGTTGATTGATGGATTGTTTTTCTGGGGTTAATAATTCCTTCAAAAAATAATAATAAATTGTTTACTTCAATCCATGACTATTTGTGGGACACTGCTGTGTGCGATTGGCTGCTGTGTTTAACCCACAAAATATACAGTCAATTCACTTTACAGTACATTCTGTGAAGCCCTTTGAGATGTCTCAAAGAAGTGAGCTTGTATCGACTCAACTGCCTGCAAGAGAAAAACAAGACTATTTTTGCATCTGTAAACTAAACAGGTTGCAGTAATATGACAATTAATCCAATTCATTTATGCTCAGAAATATTAGAATCATACAGAATGTTGTTCAAATACATTTGGTAACAAAACATTGCTAACCCACCTGACCGCTCGCTCCTGGTCCCCGCGTGCGCACTATGGCTGCTTCTCTGACCCGAGTCCCCTCATCCCCTCTCTCCCTCCCCCTCCTATCTCCCCCCAAACCCTCCCCCCTCTGCATCTCTCCCTCTCTGTCCTCCTCTCTCTCTCCGTCCCCTCGCCTTCTATAACCACTTAACCCTCCCACAACCTCCCTCTGTTCCAGCCCAGGAATCCTCCGCCGGGCTCATCGTGGCACTCGGCGTTGGCTGTCCAGCAGCCACTGCCCCATTCCCCACCATACTCGCCAGCCACCCCGGACACAGACCCGGGGAGCCAACCTCTCCTCCCTCATTCCCATCCCCCCCGGGACTACAGGAACTCTCTCCTCATCGGCCTTGCCGGCACCTCCCTCCACAAGCTGTAGGTCATTCAGAACTCTGCAGCTCATGTACTGTCCCGCACCAGGCTTCACAACCACATCACTCCCACCCTCGCTCGCCTCCACTGGCTCCCCATCCCCCAGAGGATCGAATTCAAGATCCTCATCCTCACCTACACGGCCATTCACGGCCTCGCTCCCTCCTACCTCTCCGACCTACTATCCCCCTACCTACCTGCCCGTACCCTCCGTTCCTCTGGCTCCGATCTGCTCCACATCTCCCGCCCCAACCGCCCTACCATCGGTGGTCGGGCCTTCAGCCTCTCAGCCCCGAGGCTCTGGAACTCCATCCCCCAGTGCCTTCGCCGCTTCCTCCCTTTCCTCCTTCAAAGCCGGTCTCAAGACGTTTCTCTTCAACCGAGCCTTCAGCTCCCCTCTTGACTCTCTACCCCCTCCTCGCTCCCTCCCTTCCCTCACCCTGACCATTTCCCCCTCCTCGCTCCCTCCCTTCCCTCACCCTGACCATTTCCCCCCTGCTCGGGTCCCGACCCAACTGTCCAGCGCCTTGGGGTGTCCTCCCGACGTGAAAGGCGTTCTATAATTGCAATCTTGTTGTTGTATTATATTTTCTTTTGCTCAATTTGGAAACTACATTCTGTATGTTTAATACTGTGCTGACTAACATTTTAATTGTACTTGCTGCAAAAATTAGCAAAATAGTTTCAAGATTTCCATGCTTGACAAAACAAACAGGCCCCAAAACTCCATTTTTTTGCAGATAAAAAACAGACTAAACAGTCCTTAAATGATGGGCAAGACTGGGGGAGTTTCCTCTTTATTTGTATTGTATTCTTTGAATAACTAGGGTTTAGCTCCTCGTCTCTCAGACAGCGACTCCAAAAATATAGCACTCGCTGGAATGTCAGCTAAAGTTCTGTTGTGGATTCGAATAAAAAAACCTCCAGCATATAATAAAACTCACACACATCATATCTGGCAGGAACATGACATTTAATATGATTTACATAAAGTTCGAGTTGCACGTAAACTTGTGCAAGTCATATAAGATCCCATTTAATCAATAATCTACATTGCCATATGTAATTCAATGCAGCCAGTAAGTGCACATGCGTGGACTAGTCAAGATTACATTTCCCGCGATTCAATGCGATTTGATCCATTGCCGTATGCGCACTTATCGGCAAGCATTGGCATCGCGGGAATTTAAGTTCTTCTGCATATGCGTCGACAGATCAAGACTATGTTTCCTGCAATTCAATGCAGCCAGTCGCTAAGTGCTGCAACCAGTCAGGATGTCACTAGCCTCTATTCAATGCAGCCAGTAAGTGCGGGTGAAATGGAGGATAGGGGAGCAGGTTTACAAATTAGGATATGATTAATAAGACTAGTGCAAAGAAATCTAAATGGATTTGATAGGAAACTGAATGGACTCAGGTGCATGTACGACTTAAGACGATTAGATTATTTATAAGTATAAAACTTATGCAAATGTTACTGTATAAACTTCATATAGATTAGCCAGATAACTATAGACCAGTTTATCTGACAAATTGTAGTCAATTGCTTCAATCTAGTGAATTAGTGTTAATTCACAAATTAACACTAATTATACACTCCAAAACGACTCTGCATGAAGGGCACTATATAAATGCAAGTTGTTGTTGAAATGAACACTTGAAAATATATGGACCACTCAATTGTGACCACTCAAAAAGTATTTGTTAAAGGGCAGGTTGTGCTTAAATAATCAGTAAATGATTCTGATTCTACAACCTATGTATCAAATCTTAATAAAATATGCAGAAATACACAAATCCCTATAGAGTCGTAATAACTTATGAAGTAGGCTAGTTGTCAACATCATCTTGTGCCTGTAAAGGCCAAAGTCGCAGGGAGGGAAAATAAAGTAAAATTTAAAACATATCGAGCAAGGTAGAAAAAAGTGTTTTTATTAAAAAAAACTTCCTATTGAAATTAACCTTCCAATTAACTTTCAACTTCTTCCAAATCATTCATATCTGTTTTCTTACTTCAGTGCCTGTGCAATAAAAAAATATTTCCTTGTCCCAACAATGACGCAACCTAAAGTGATACATCACTGTATCACTTGGCGCTGCAAAAACACACTGAATCCTTCACTCCAAGAATTAAACGCGCTGCTTCAATCCTCTGTAAATGTTTATTTTATCTGACATTTAATTCTTAAAGTAACATTCTAATAATTAGAATGTTAATGACATTTCATTAACATTATAATTATTGTTATAATTATAATTAATTGGCACTTCCAAGAGAGAGGAGACTTCCCGAACATTCCAAGAAAGAATCCGAGAAACAGTCAATTAATTTAAATGTTAATCCTTAAACTGCAAATATAATTAACACAAAAGCTTTTTTGGGTACTCTGAAAATCAAATTGTATGAGAATTTTCTAAAGTACTATATTACACAAATTATAAATTGAAGATACATAGATCATATGTAATGAGAATGCAGGCATTACTCCTCATAATTTATGTATTGAATGCTCATTGATCCATTTTCAGTGCATGTTTTACACTAACAAAATCATTTCACCTTTTCTCCATACCATGTTAGTACCCGTGGGTACCAGTTCAAAGTTATACCTTTGTTTATACAATAGAAGTTAGCTGTTTTAAAAAGTTAAAAGCCAATTTGCGGAAAGCCATTTTGAGCATATAACAGAAAAAGGGGACTGCTCTTAAGCCAAACCTGAGCAAAAATTTCAGCTGCCCACCATATATTATATTCAGTAAGATGATCTTCAGAACAAAATAATTTATATATAAAGCACTTTTCACGTCAAAACGACATCTCAAAATGCTTAACACAACTGACTGTGAGCCCAAGCTGGTGGTGGTGGGGGAGGGATGGGGAGGATAGCCAAAAGTACTGTCAAGGAGATAGGTCTCATGGTCGGGAGGTGAAAGGAGAGAGGGAGAGGACAATGAATGGAAGTTGTATGGAACGGGTAGACATTTATCTCTAAGCAGGCAGACATCTGGGAAGTACAGGCAAAGAACTGCAAAATCAGCCATGGAGAATCTAAAGGATTCGTCCAGAATAGCAAATACAAGTGCTTTTTAGAGTATTCACGTGAAAAACACACCCTAGACATATTTAAAAGGTTTACTGCAAGATGGCTTGGTTATTGTGCCAGAATTTTGTAGCCAAATCTCAGCTTCCTCCATCCCACCCATCATTAAACAATTTCAAAAGCATGTACATGTGGAGGAGGAGGTGTATATGATACTCATGCATAAAGAGGGTAGGTCTTTTTAACAGATAAGTATATGCAGATGACCGTAGCAAGAATCTCAACTGTGGAAAAAACTCAGTGAAAATGTAATAAAGTGTTTTTTTGAATAAAAGGATCAGAAGTAATCCTTACAGAAAGCACATGTATCTTATTCTGACATACATACCTCACCACTAATTTCATATTTCTCAGTTAAATATCCAACCTAGCAATTCAAAGCAAAGACATAGCTATATGGTTGCAAATTACAACCCAACTTGTATATTCCCCATAATCACACAACAGAGTATTGATAGCTTTATCATCCAAGTCTGTTGTCAAATATTTTTCTTTCTTCTAAAGAACTAATTTTGTTTTGATAAAAACTAATCCCAAAGAGGGTGATTAACAGTCACCTCCTGCAGATTACAGTGTGCCCAACTGCAATTTCATCTGCTTTGACTGGATAATGCAAAGATAGATCACCCTGAGGATCACCTTTTTAGATTATTTGTCTGAATGTAAACCAATATTATGTTTAAACAGACAATGCATTTTAAATATTTTTAAATGCAGAACTTTTCCCAGCATGTCTGTATCACAAAGTTCTGCTTTAAATATCAAATGCAAACTGGTGAAGTATTAGAGCAAGAACTTATCTGAATAACATATTCACTCAGTTTTCATTTTGTTAATTCAATCAAAGGAAAAGCACCAGTTTTAATGCAGCAGGGAAGCAATAATAATCCATGCATTTGATACAGTGCTTTATCACATCATTAAGACATCTCAAAGAGCTTCACAGAATATACTGTAAAGTGAATTGACTGTATATTTTGTGGAGAAAACAATAAATTGCTGAAATTAGCTTGTCGCCAAGTATAAGCAATGCCTTTGTTTAAGGTCTCATTTTGAAAAAAACACAGCAATTTTACTTTGTACAAATCCTATTTACAGGCTTCATAAGATTTCAAAATAAAAACACTTCAAATAAAAATAATTTGTCAAAGCTAAAGCCAAACACTTTCAGTTACTTGTTAGGGTCATTAAAGGTTAGAACATCACTATATAATTCAGACCAAAGTTAGCACTCGGAAATGTGGCATTTCTCTTTCTATAAACCTACTACAGAAATGCACAGCTGCTGAATTCAAAATTGTACCCAGTTATGGATTCTGAGTTTCTCTAAACTCTTGACCAACAGTCCTCTAG